TAACTATTCTATGATTCTATGACCATGAGCACCTCCTCCCAAACCAAGGAGGGGGGTTTCTCTCTTCCCCTCTCCACACAGACCCAAGCTCTTTCCTGCAGTGCTGCCATCTGTTTTTCTACTGATGGCAGGGGATGAGATGTTCTGCTGGCCCTCACGAGGCAAAGCAAGCTCAGCACTAACTTACATTCCTGATGGCCTCCCTGGAAGGGTCCCTTGCTGAACTACATGCCTCCCTGCTCTGGTGATGCGGAACTTGGCAAGGCACAGTGGGAGAACAGGAGGCAGATGGATGACCAGATTAATGGAAAGAGAAGGGAGGTGGGGAGAGGAGCAAGGGATGAGCAGGCAGGCTGATCTGTTGCCAGCATACAATAAAGATGAGCGAGAATCCTCCTAATGCCATTTTGTGGTGACCTGAACTTTCCAGCATGAGGCAGGGCTCCATCCAGGGCTGGGGAGGTTGGGTCTTGGCTACTGCTCCCATGCCCCAGCCTAAGGTGACTCCACCAGGGAGAGACAGTACGAGCAGCCAGGTGGCCTGGATTTCTCTTACATAGGGTTGTCCCCCAACTGAAGCATCCAGATGAGAAAACTTCCTCATCCAACACACTCTTGGCAGTCAATGGAAAGGCAGTGGCATCTCCAAGGGGTGGAGATGGGGAACATCTACTGGAACAGCACTTTACTGCCCAGTAGAGAGGAGAGGCTGGGCTCCTAAAGGAGGTGCCTCCAGTGAGGGATTACTGTGAAATGAGGAGGAATGTGAGACTAAGATGTCCCATGGACATTGCAAGTCAAGCTGAACCACATCAAACCCAGCAGGGACATGTTCTGCAGGGACAGAACATTGTTTGTGCAGGTAAATGAAGGGAAGAATAGGAAAAGGAGATGGGGGAGGGCACCATGCAGCAAGGACAGGTTACAGGTTATATTTCATCTCTACCCAAATCCTGCTGCCTGATGTCCCCACATCCTGCAAGAGATTGGGTCCCAAGTTAAACAGCCTCTGAGAACTGCAGTGCTTTTCATCACAAGAATGGGGGCAGGAGAGGAGTAAGAACAAGGATGGAAGCCAGAGAGATGAGGTGAAAACAACATTCAGGACATTTTCTGTGGTCAAACATGGTCAGGGACAGTGGATGGGACACTGGTAACTCAGTCCTGAGCAGCAGCTCCCAGAAAAGTACTCTGAATGAGACATGTTTGGTAAGAGTTACTCTTTATGGCAAAACAATGACTACTATAAAACACGTGGAAAAAAGTTATCTAGGAAGACTTGCCTTATCAATCCAACCTTAACAACCTGCAGCATCATAGAAGAAAACCCAATGAAATGAATAATCAAAGATGCATATGTAAGAAGTGAGGAGGAAGAGAACAAGAAAGAGGCAGCTGTGAGCTGTATCAAAAAGGAGAGCACCAGGGTGAAAGAAACTATCTGAGGATGAATCTTCATAAGCATTACAGTGAGTGACTGTGACCTTAAAAATAGGCCTGTGCTGATGAAACTGCTAATGAGGAAGAAGGCATTGTTCCACAGAGAAGATCAGGTTATCTGACAAACACTTAGATGACCTGAAGGACTAGAGAGAGAAACAGGATGACATTCACTTGTATAAAATTGAAGGGCAAGCTCTTGTACTTACAGTGAAACATCTGCTGTTAGCTTGGAGCTCATCAGTTGGGAACAAAGGAGGTAGAGAAAGATCTGATCTGGGTGTACTTGCTGACCTCAGGATATCCCTGAGCTGCCAGACTGATGCAACTGCAGAAATAACAGATATAGTCCTGGGTCCTATCAAAAGAGACATCTCCAGTACAAGGAAACTTCGTGCAGGGTTTTGTTGAGACCTCATCTGGAAGAGTATGTACTGCTTAGTCATTGCTGATGAAAGATTAATTGAAAGCAGAGAACACATTAAAAAGTCTACAAGACTTGATGAAGAGCATGGACTCTCCACCTTCTGGTAGGACACTGCAAGATCTTTGCTTGCTTAACCTCCTTTAAGCTAAGACTGCTGTCTAGGATTGTTTTCTAAGAGTAAAAGGGGATGACAAGCATCCAGGAGCAGAAAGAGGTCATGTTGGCCATGAGCATGTTTGGGTGGCTCATAAGAAGACAGTGACCGTTCCTTTGAGATGCTGGGACTTCAGGTAGTTGGTCCCTATCTCTCTCTCTCTCACACACACGCACACAGGTAAACTGGCAGTTTTCACTATCCCCATGGGAACTCTTGCTGAAGACACAGACCCAAGGTGAGGTACATGAGAAGGAAAGGCTGAAGTTGGTCTGGTGTACCTGAGCCTAAGGGAGCATCCTCATGCCTGTGTCTGCTTTCTGTCATGTGAGCTGCACACGAAGGGAAGATGGAGCACCTCATACCCCATCTATTTCTATTTTGGAAGGACCCAGAGAGCACAAAGAGCAGTTACTTCCTTGCTAGTAGGAGAGCACAGACAGGATCACCACAACCATCTGGACTCCTTTTTCATGTAAGCCCATCCACTTCAAACATGTTGCCCCAGAGCTGAGCTAGAAGATGGGGTTTAGAAAGACCTGGAGCTCCCAAAATGCCACAGGATTCATTGCTAAGCTCTCTGCTATCAAACACCTCACTAGCACACAGTATCTCATTCCCCTACCCTTGCAGCCCATGCCTTGCAGTAGACACACACAACACAGCCATTGAGTTTGGGAACTAACTGCTGCACCCTCTGCTGATCATAACATTTCCTTCCTGGGGACGTGCCCCCTGCGACATTGCACTTTTTTCCACACTTCAGTTGACAAAAGCTGAGCTAGGCAGAATCAGTGAGCAAAAGCGATCATTTGCATTAAAATGAGCCCGTTTAAAAAATTATCAGCAAAACCCAAAGCTATTTTTAGTGTGCAAACTTCATTTACATTTTCCTTTTTGGTAAAAATCCCAAATTTTCAGCAGAGAGCGTTCCAAAATACCGTCTCTTTTCCCTTTTATTCTCAATCATAATAACAAGTAGTGCTTGACAAAGACTCCCTATTGTTAATTTCCTTTGTGAACTGACTCCTGGCTGCCTATGATTTTCTCTTGCTTCATTATTCAAAGCAAAATGAGTGGCTAACCAATTTCTGCAAGGAATTCTTTGTCTGCAGATTCTTCGGGAGCAGTTTGTTTTGCATGTACGAGGCTGGAAATCCTAGCTGTTTTGGTTGGACGCGTGAGTCACACAGGGCTTTTCTGGATCCGCGTTACGCTAGAACTGCGGTTCTGGTAAAGGAAATATTCAGGCTTGGAGTCAGCACAAGCTTTTTGGGGATACCCCTTGCCAGTGATATCCTTTTGCTAGAACATTCTTCCCAGCTTGGCCAAGAAGAAGCAGGCTAAGAAGGAAATAGGTTGTTCTGCAGCTTTCGTTCCCCAGCGTCGCCCTGGCTGCAGGAGACCATGCCCAGAGATTTCTTGCTCTGGCCTTTCTGGTCAGCCAGAAAGCCCTGGCCCAGCTCATATGGAGCAAACATGAAGTCAAAACTACCCAGTTTTCTGCTGGAGCATGTCTTCATTGCCAAGAACTCTCCTGCAAGGAGCAGGCAGCCCATGCTGTGGGCAGGGGGGACTTACCTCACATGACTGGATGCAGTGAATGACAGAAGGGTCTGGATACCACCGCAGCCTTCCCGTGCACACAATATGCTGAGGAGGGAAGGAGAAAAGAGCAATTAGGAGAGGTGGCAGAGGAAGACCAACAGCCACCAATGCTTTCTAGAGGTAGAGGTTTTTTCACAACACTGAATTGCTCACTGTGGTGTAGAACAGCAGTGGCACCTCCAGGACCCTCTCCCTGCACCTCTGCCCATCAGGGAAACCCTTTGAAGCCTGTTTTGTTCACCCACAAACCAGATACATTGTTAAAGGCGGACATTAGACAGACGTGTGTAGGTATATGTAGAGGTATGTAGAGGCACAACTGGGAGAAGACAAAGAGAGGTCGTGGGGACCACCAGAGAAGTGAGCTTAGCTAGCTCACAGTGGCTGACTTGGCTAAGAGCTGCTGCTTGAAGGAAGCCATCCAGGGTCATGGCAGGTTGGTGTCTGCCATCGCCCCTTTGCATGATGCTGAATTCACCAGATTCTCAATCATACGGGATGTGGGCTCAGCTACTTCATTGACCCCTGCTCAGGCTCTGAGACCAGGACCCAGGAGGACTCACCTCCCTGGACCTGGCCTGAAGCAGATACACCAGAGTCACGTTTACTTGTGGGGCTGGGGTTATTGCTGGTATTTACGAGACATGAACTCAGCTGTTGCAGCCAAATGGACACAAAAGTAAGACGTGAAGGGCTCAGTTTCTTTGCGCTGGAATTCACCATCCCGCTCATTGAGTAGGGGTTTGTGGGGAGCACTCATTATACAGGGGGAAGAAAAGCCCCACCGCATATGCAATTTCCTCCTTGTTAAAGCTCAGGCAGACTTTGAAATCTGAGGCCCCATAAAACAACGGCTAGCCTGTGAAAGTGTCCTAGGATGCCCTTCACAGCACAGGAGTTGCACAGAGAAGCACATGTGTTTTCTCCTAGCCTCCCATTTGAAATGTACAGCAGCAGGCAGAACGGCTCCAGCGTCCTTGACTGGAATAATATTTGGGGATAGGGCAGCTCTGCCTGTGGAGACCTGCTGCAGGTCTTTCTGCTGCATGTTCAGTTGAGACAGTATTGGGGCTGGTGCAGCATGAGGTCCTGGCCCCCTTCCACCAGTGTAGGGAAGGCAGACCTGGCAGGAGCTGCTGTCAGATGGGGCAGGGGCTGAGGTTGCTGGCTGAGCTAGCCAATTCCTGCTCAGTCCAGAGGATGTTTGCAACCTAATGCTACTGGGGTGTTTCATATGGGGTTGTTGTTCAACTTGAATGCCAGTTTAGCATACTCATATTAGGATACTCATATTCCAGGCTGGAAAATAGGAGCAGAGGGACAAACCTGCTCAGCTGCAGGATGCAATGAATCAGAGCTGAAAACAGAACAGGACCATGCCCTCCACAAGTGGCCCCTGCAGCTCCCTGTGTGGTTCACCCCATCCTCTCCATCACCTTGGAAGCTTGGCAGCTCCCTGGAATAGCAAGTTTTTGGAAGCTTGGAGGAGCTAAGCAGGGAGCAGAGGCAGGAGCCAGGGCAGAGAAGAAAACAAGACGGTGCAGGGAGAGGGCTCCTGGCACGGGGGAGCACTGCTTCTTAAAATAACACCTCCTTTCCCTCCTCCTCCTCTCTGCAAAATGCCTCCCTTGCACGAAAGCCCGCAGCCGTGGTGAAAGGAAGCTGAACGCCACTGCCTTGACAGGCCAAGCCATCTGATCCCTCAAAGGCACGGACTCCTTCCAAGGCTTGTGCTTAACCATCCCACACACCCCAGGCGTCCTCACCCCCCGACAGCGATTCGTTGTGGGTCTGATTCAAGGCAATGTACAGTAGTATCCACAGGCACGATGCTGGGCCTCCTGTGGGTTCCCAGGAGGAGGGGAAAGTGTTTGGATGGGGGCGCAGGCTCCTGGGAAGATTGTTTGTTTTTCTTTGTTCCACCTCCTTCCTTATGCATCTCATTTTATTTTAAGAAATATTACCCCAGCAGAGCTGCTTTTTGGGAAATTTGTGCCGTGAGGATCCAAACTATGTGAGCTATTTGAGCTGATTTTCCTACAAAATGACTAAGAGATGGGGAGGGAAGGCTCCCCAGCTCCAGCAGCGGAAGCAACCAGCCAGCCAGCAGGTCCTGGCAGCCAGAGACACCTTTCAGCTGACGGTGCCCTGCCTCCTCCCTGGCAGGGAGAAGCCTGCCTGGGGTTGCATCTCTGCTGCCAGGTAACTGGGGACCCAGGCTCACACCATGCCTGGGGCAGCCTTTGCTCTCCCCGCACACAGCAGCTTAGCTTGTTTAGACATGCAGCATGTCCTGAAAAATCAGTGGGATTCCTGCATTTAACTTCATTCATTGTGGTATCCTGCAACTCCTTGAAAGCTGGCTTGGGAGCCGATAACTTATGCTGAACTTTGGTACGGAAGAGCAGGAGGCTGTGCAATAGCATCTGCAGGGGAGGGAAGAGGAGAAAGACATGGTGGGAGGGAGGAGCACCTTGGCACTGGAACCTGGTTATGCGGAGCAGCAGGTACCTCCAGAACATGCAGCCTGGGCAGCTCCTTGGAAAGACCCAGCAAAGTGCTCCCAGCAAAGCGCTCCCAGCAAAGAGACCCAGAGCTCACTTTTACTGCTTGTCTTCCCAAGCCTTACCCTTGTTCACCCAAGGCAGAGATTTCAGATAAAAAACATTAGACAGAGAGGAGAGGGGCACCCCTCTATGCTGCCAGCAAACTCCCTCCAAGAGGAATCCACCTTCCTGTTTACCTGGACTCTGGTGGGCTGCAGACGGTGATCCATAGTCTCAGCAGTTATATTTTTGGGCAGTATGACAGGATCGCTGGGAGGTATGACACAAGAGGGTATGCACACAGCACCTGCAGGAGGAGAGAAAGCCTTGAGGACTTCAGGAACGAGGTAATGATGTTTTTCAGGAGGACACCAAACTCATATGTGTAAGCTCCTCACTGAAGGTTAGGGGCTGACATAGAGGAGAACCTCTTCCTCCCAACCTGGGGTGACAATTCCTTCTCCAAATCCTGAACTGTGCAGGAATCTACAGGAGTTATGGCCAGTTCCCTTCTCCCACGTGAGGGGAAAATTTAACACACTCTAACAGACAGATTCAGGCCCTGACGGCAGGACATGGGATCCAGCATCAGAATAAGTCTGTCCTGGGTGCTATGGAATGTTTATTGAAATGCTAAGAAGGCTCTTTCAAAGTTATTTACCATGCTGAATTCCCACTGCCTTCCTATGACCCAGGAAGAAACAAACCCTGCAAAAACCACATTGGAAAACTAGGTGGATCCCAGCCCTAACTCCAGCCTCACATCAGGTCTGTCCAAAGCTGAACCTTTGTGGGCTCTGCCCTGGGACTCCCCTCAGCCTGTTTTGATCAGACCCAGATAAGTGGTGTGTTTGCTTCAGGGTGATACAGGCTTTGTTGAAGCGTCCTGTCCAGCGGGATGCCAGACTGAACATTGCAGCTTTTCCTGAAAGCATGAAGAGACCAAGTCCTGGAGAAAGAAATGGGTGATGTGGTCCCTCATCTGGTGAAAGTGCCCTGTTACACACAACTGGTGTGACTTTTATCTAGGACCTGCCACATTAACTCTGCAAATGTCAGCAGCAGTAGCAAGCAGAGAGACCTCGAGGAGGGTGGAGGGCTAGGGATTGGGAAAGTTACTGCAAAGGGCTGGGTTTACCCTAGAGACAAGTCCCTGCTCCTTCTGAAAAGGGAGAGACTCTTATACCGGAGCTAGCTTTAGCTTTGAGTCTTGCCCATGATTACAACCAGGTCATGCACAAGACTAAAGCCAACCCTGGCTCTGTGTTTAGAAAGATAATGGAAAAGAAAATAGGGTATTTTTCATAGGTTTAGTGGGGATTGGTACAAGAAGAAGAGTCATCATGACCATCAGCTCTGTGGGAAGGCTGAGTCAACATAGAGTTTGGGTTTTGGATTAGCTTTTGTCAGCCCTCACCTATGCCATGCCCCTGCTCGCACTTGTATTCCACGAAATTCAGCTCAGGGGGCGGTGGGCAGGTGCCCTGTAAGCTCTCACACAGTTTGAACTCTTCTGTCCATAAGCCCTCCTTGGTGCAGACGATGGGAACCTGCAAAACAGAGGGAGAGCAGCCAGCTTTACTGCCTGCAGCAGCAGGGCTCACCCTGCCTGGCCACTGCTCACCTCTGAGGGGAGTAAAATGCAAGGGCCCCCCACTCCTGCTGCTGAAGTCCAGAGGGACGTTCTCCAGGGCAGCTGGATTGCAGCAATCTGTTCTAGCCTATATGTGCTTCGCATTATAGACCAGAAAGCAAACTGTCTTTCAGCTGCTGCTGGATCCCACCAGAGGGAATCAACTGCACTTCTGATAAGACCATTCCAGCAGGTTGGATGAGAAATATGGGTGGAAGAGCCTGGCAGGCAGCAGCCTCCATCCCCCAGTAAGCCCTTTGGTTAGCAAGCCTGCTGCAGCAAGGTTGCCCATCATCTCAGGTGAATGCATTCGCAGCAGCTCCCCAGACACGCTGGAAATCCTCTACTTTTGCTTCCCAATCCTTTTGACTCAAGAGAAGCAGACTTGCTTAGGACCACTGCTTTTTGGAAGAGTCACCGGGGAGCAGGAGATCATCCCCAGGTGGTGGTGCACCCTGTGCCATGGCTGGTATCCAGCAAGAAAAGCCTTGGGTTTGCAGGGCAACTGCTGTTTGATGGTACAAGGGGTGGCCAAGCTGCTGTGGGGTCCCTCTGCACAGCAGGACATAGGGAACCCTGCTCTTTCCAGGTGCTCTGCAGCACAGCACTTGGCCGATCTCTGCCTGCCTCCCAAGTCACTCACCTGTTGTTCCTGCGGCTCGCAGTTGAGGATGCACTGGCTGTCCAGCTCGAAGCCCTGAGTGCAGTTGTACATGCCCTCAAAGACAGGAGGGGGGGGCTCACACACCACAGGGATGCAGCGCCCCTCTTCCCACTGCCCGCTCTCCAGGCACTGGACCTTCAGGAACTTCCTGTGGAAGCACAGAAGGGAGAGCCCATGCTCAGCCAGGACCTTTTCTCCTTGCTGGGGAGATTGCACTGATTTAGGAGCACTGGATGCTTTTTCATTGCACTCACCACCCCACCACTCTTCACCTCTCGTGGTGCCCCTAAAGCATCCATCTGCCCCACAGCTTCTATGGGTCCTGCGCTGCTTTGTCCCACCACCAATAGTTACATACTTTGCTGGATAGAGTGAGCCTCCTCCAGTAAATCCTGTTGGCCTGCACCCAGCTACTCCTGAGGCTCCTCTTTGTACTCCATCCAGTTCTGTCAATCCTGCTCTTGACAAGGGTCTGTCATATCCCAGCAGACCAATACCATCCTGGGCTGCTGAAACAGCCCAGGTGCAAGCCACTTGCCAAGAAAATGATGGAAAAGAAAGGAAGTAAAAGTGCAGGAGCAGAGCCCACCAGGTTTTTAGTCTCCTGTCCTTGGCAGCAATAGACACCACATCTTTTATATCGAGGCATCAAAACCCCATGAAGCATCAGGCTGGATGGGATTGCTCTCCCAGAAGAGGAGATGTCACCACAACCCCAGACTTTTAACATACAGGTTTTGACAGTGCTGATGGGCATTACCTGACCCAGTGTTAATTGCTCTGTCCTTAATGACACTTTTCCCCCTGCCCCGATCGTTCTTTGCTAGACAGCCTGCTCCAGCTGCTTGCCCCTGCCCTCTCCCACCACCAGTGCCAGCAGGCAGGGCTCCAGGCAACGAGTTATGAAGTTTATAGCATGCCACAGGTATGTGGAGGGGGGTTTAACTGGGTTAGAGAAACTCCTGTAGGAGACACTAAATTGCCCCTTATTCTGAGTGGCAAAAACATCGCATGGGGCCAGCCGGCTGCCCCCCAACACATGCTGCAGAGTCACGCAGGCCAGAGTGGTGAGGGGACCACATCTTCACCCCACCACCAGACTGGGGCAGGAACTGTTGGCCATCCCCATCATACTTCTGCTGGGAACCCCTAGAAGAGAAATTCGAGAGCTTTTTGCAACATTCTCGTATTTTTAAATATTTGCAGCTCTTAGAGATTGCCCTTCTCCCTTCAGAAATCAGGGATCTTTTTTTGCTAAAGACTATACAGGGGACAGTGGGTTCCTCCTGTGGTAAATGCAGGCTCCAGCAGGTGATGTGGAGGCAGGCAAAGGAGGGGATGCAGCAGATTCCCCAGCACAGAGCTCTGCACATATCTTCCCACTACACCATGTCATATGTAGTAGCCACGGTAGGAGCACCTGACCAGCAAGTCACCCCTAGAGCAGTAGCCTTGAATCAACTGAAGAGAACTGCAACCACCTGTTTTGGGAGGGTGGTGAGGAGCAGCAACTCTGCATCTCATTGCGGGCATCTGTGGGTTTAGCCCACCCCTAATTTAACTTTTGTGGTTGCTTGCCCTTTCCACAGGGATGATGGTCACTGCCTTTTGAAGATATCCCCATCACACCTTGCATCCTCCCATGTCTGAATGCTTTGCTTTTCACACCTTTAAAGGCAAGTGAAGGCACATGCCAAGGGTAGATGTGTTGCGTGTCCAGGTATCCCAGCAGCATTTTCCCCTTCTTGAATTGCCTGGCATGCAGGGTGTGATCCAGCTGCACAACTTGCAGGGGTAAATCACTGGGGCGTAAGCTGATGGCAATAGCAGCAAACTGGTAGTGCAAAGCCTCACTGCAACAGCGATACCTCAAGCACTGAGCAAACTCCTTTACAAACCAGAAGCATCCCAACCACACACTACTTCTCACTCCTCCACTGGCCACCAGGCTATAACTGATGCAGCCACTGCACCTCTCTGTTGCTCCTCCAAATCACATCAGAGGCCCTTTGCCCGGAAGCCACATGAAAACCTGGGTGGAGAAGCTGAGCACAGGGAGGACATGCTGTGGGAGTTGCAGTTTGCACAGGTGCACACTGCGGTTTGCAGCTCCATCATCTTCAGCAGGGCTCCTTGTCTTGATGTGGTGCTGGAGTGACCCCAGCAGGGGCCAGTGCCATGCACGACCTCTCCCATCTCTCCTCAGACCTGCACCCCCTACACGTGTGGGGAGAAACCGCCTTGCTTTGCAGGCTCATCCCACCACCAGCATCCATTCTGGGGAACTTCAAACAGGGCTAACCTGGGCTGACCCCAGGGTAGAAGGTGGCATGCGGACCATTGCCGCATGTACCAAGTGAGCAGTTTATATTAAGGCATGGAGAAGGGAAGAGAGAGCCTTTAGAAAACATACATATATATATATAAACACAACCTCATAGCAGCTTGAAATTTCCAGACCCCCTAACTTCTGATCTGGGCTAGCAGCATTTCTCAAGGATTAACAAAGAAGCGAGGAAAATCATAGTCAAATCTTTCCTCTCGAAACAGGCAAGCAGATGCCTAATGGATAGAGGAGGCAAGGGAGATGTCTGAGGCCAGCCAGGGCTGCATCTGATGTGAAGGCATGAATGCTCACCTGGCTCCAAAAGCTGAGCACGCAGGAGCCTGGCTGAGATCCAGCCACATATTGGGTCAGCCAGTTTGGGGGGGACCAGGTCCTCTGTACAGGAATGGTGATAAATGAGCCTAAAGCCTCATCTCCCATGGCAGGAGACTCACAGCTTCAAAACTAATTGGGGAGAAGGAGGGAGATCTGCCAGCAAATTGGAAGAAAGCAATATGAAAGAAAAGAAAGCTTGCAGGACCTCCACTGCTGTGCTCCAAATGGCCTGGGCAACCTGGGCTGTAAATCTTTATCAGAGAACTGCTAGGTGGAAGTGACACAGGAGTCCACTTGATAGCCTGTGTTTTCTTTACCTGGCTGTTTGGCACTCTCAGTTGTGCTGGTGTTTGCCTTTTATCTGAAAAGGGCCAGGTGTGGGCAAGAGCAGTGACCACCCCACGCCTTTGCACCCACCACAAATATATAGTGGCCTGGTGCCCCACTGAACTCTGATGGCCCTGAGTTAGGCTGTCCTGCTTTGCCCACTGTCATCTTTCCCATGGATTTCCAGCTTCTGGTTGCTAGTCCATTTTCTCCTCCATGTTCTCCTGCCTCCTCTCACTCTTTCATGGTCCCTGTAGTCTTTAAATGGGGAGAAGAGTCAGAGGGGCTGATATCTCCATGGAAGTTCATCAGCGGCCTGTGCTGCCTTGATCTCTGGTCAAAATGCAGGCTGAGACTTTCACAGTTGCGTGAGAAGACCTGGGTGCCCAGTTCTTCTTTGCTAGCAGAAGGGGCTCAACCCCCCACAAAGGCAGCTTTGAGAAGTCAAGATCTCTCTGGGGAATCATCCTGCATTGGGCAAGTGAAACAACCGCTTGGCAGGGTTTGACCTTTTTGGTCACCAAACTAAGAGCATCCTCTCAGCATTAGAATGCTCCTCTAAAGGATGTCCTAGATATTTCTGTTAGTGTTACTGACCTGCTTCAGACGGTACTTCATGGTGGAAGCAACAGCACGGACCACTGAGAGGGTGATGCTTATTTTGTGCAAAGTATCTGACCCCTGACTTTCAGGCCAGCTCTTTTCTATGCTGCAGATATGGACAATGCCAAACTTTGCTCCTTGGCAGTTCATTTCTCTGTATGATCCAGGTGGGTTGGTTCATGCTGCCACTGGACAGATGCTGCCCAGAAACAGAGAGCTCCCACCACACAGCGCAAATGCATACGTTAAGTTCCCCTTGTTACCATTATTTCAGGGTTAGATGTGAAATAGCTTGGCAGCTGGAAACCAGGCTGAAATCAGATTTCCTTCAGGAAGAGTCAAAGCAGCTTTAACCCTCATGTCAGCATTGTCAGTCAGATGATCCTGCCAGCAGAAAAGCAGCAAATCTCTGGCAGGATCTTTATTACACAACCAACAGTTCCTCAAGGATCTCTTGTTGACAAGCAGTGATTTCTGAAGGGCCTTCCCTCAATGAAGTTAATAGATAAAAGCACCTTCTCTGAGGCAACAGATTTCTTTGTCCCCTTTCTCTTAAAATTATGCTATGGGAAATTAATTTCAACTAAGATTGCAGGAGTCTGCTAAGCATCCTTACTACCCCTGCAGAAAAATGCAACTAACAAAATAGAAGTGAGGGAATCACACAAATATCTGTGTCCAAGATCATCTCAGCTTGGATAGAGACAGCTGGACCCCGGCCATGGCTCTGGACTGCATAAATGGGCACTGTAGTCCTACCATGTAAAGAGCAAAACCCTAGGACTTGGGCTCCCAGTCCGGCTGTGATAGCCATGGTGTTTTACAAGGTGCATGAGGGAGAAAGACACTGCAGAAGGCTAATCAAAAAGGCAGCTAGTGAAGTGGTGATGCGGAGCCATGGCTGGGTTTAGTTCCTGCTTGCTCATATTACAGCTTCACTGTCCCTGTCCACAGGAGAAACAGAGCCAACCCTGAGGAAGGTGCCTACAAGCAGTCCCCAAAGGCAATGACAAAGTGTCTTATAACAGAATACACTTCCTCTATCGTTCCCCTCTAAAAAGGCACACACTAGAGCTAGAAGAATAATTTAAAGGGAGCCTGAATATTTTTCTAAAGTTAAGCTACTTAGCTGGCATGCAAACTTCCGTGTTAGCCATGGATCATGCCTTACAATATCCACTGTCCAGTATCCATGGATCATTTGTGCAATACATAGTACACATAAAAAGTCTTGCTTTCTTATGCCCATCAGCACCTGTAGAGCACTAAATCCTTTAGTAAGGCTGGTGCTAGCTGGGCTAATGGACAGCAGGGAGACAACAGATCAAGAACTCAGTTTGCTGAACCCAGAAAGAACCCAGAAAGACTTCAGAAGACCCTCAAACCTGATGTCCAGATCATCAGCAGAGACCCTGCTTGCACACCAGCATATCCAGAATGTGCACCCCACCCATGCTGGCCCCTTCCAGAGCTCTCCATCACCTTAAACAACTTGCTAACTGGCCTGAACAAAGAAAGCAACCTCTTACTCGGGCAGGTCTCATCCTCTGCCTGCCAGGCCTGAAAAACCAGAAGGATTTCCAGCAATCCAGCAACTCACTGCCCTGCTTACTGGCTAGTAGCTACTACTCACTACAAGTGCCAAGAGGTTTGTACTCATGCTGAGTATATATGCAGAGCTCCGGATAAGACTGGACACTGACATTTACACTTCCAAGGAAAGGCTTTTGCTTTGAATCAGACCGCTCACATAGCAGTTAACCTGCACGATAAGAAAGCAGTACATTTTCTATTAAAGTTTTTTTGCTTACCGTAACAGGATTGTTACTCTGCCAAGATGTTAGACAAATTAATAGTAATGACAATAGCAAATTTGAAAATGCTATGTCAACACGCATTGCTATGAAAATGTAAACCGCTTTCCATGGTTTTCCTTGACTTGCCCCACAGGCTGTTCAGACTCATAGATAGGGAAGTTACACACACATCAGAGGAGCCCTGGCAACTCCCAGAGGGCATCCGTTTTACCAGGAGTTGCTGCGGCATGGCTGAGATGGCCTAACATTGCAAGCTGAGTTGATCTGATTGCACACCCAGCGCCTGAAATGCCACAGGCACACAAGCTGCTTTGCAGTTTGCAAAGCAGTCCATGTGACTGTAGCTGTAACCATAATTTGCTCCGCTCCCCTTGGCCCAAGAAATTCTCCTAACACTGTTAAGAGCTGTTTACAGAAACCACTTCCTTCATTACGAGGCAAGAAATTTGGCAACTGCTTCCCAGAGCACAACAACCCTACCCCAGAGCAAAGTAGAGATGAAGTCTGCATCCAATTAAAACTGGAAGGGGGCATTAAACAATTAGCACATAATTACCTGATTTGGGCTACCATCAAGACTCAGGGGAGGACCTGGTCAATGCCAGGAAATCTTTAGTGACCATACCCAATGGGGACTTCAGCTGGAGACATCGCAGGCAAAATGCTACTTTACCCCCCAGTGCCATGATATTGGCTGAGTGCAGGGCTAGTGAATCACCAGGAATTTTTCCCTGAAGAATCGGGAAAAATCTCCAATTGAAATGCCAATGCTTGAGATTAAATTTAGCCAAGATGTGCAGGGGGTAAAATGTTAACTCTGACAAAAGGCACTCATTCATTCTTACTACCACTGCCTTGATCTATGCTTTGTCACTTTTAGGAAAGACAGCAGCTCCAGGAATCTTCCAGCATCTTATTACATCAAATTACCTGAGAGTCTGAAAACATTTCTGTACATGCTTGATTTTCACCAAGGTGCATGGGAAAATTCGCATGCTTTAGGTTAAGGCACTTAAAGTACATGTGTGCAACAGCAGTTTACATCTTGCTTCCACCTGCTTTCACCTTCACTTTCACCTTATCAGGGTGAATACCTCTTGTATTTCATGAAATCTGCATGAGCATAGCAAGCTGCTCTTCCATGTACCTATCACATCAACTCCTCATGACTGCCAGCACACTATAACCTCTCCTTGTTCACACTGGGAAAAGAGGAGGAAGGAAACAGTGATAACAGACCTGCCATAGACTTACTTCTTAGGCTTTCCTGCTGCATTGTCAGCCACATGGTAACCAGGCTTGCACTTGTAGCGACAGACCGAGCCCACGTCGTGGTTCCCCTGCAAGCACTGTGGGACCAGGAGCTTGGCATTGGCCACTGCAGGAGGCGCATCACACTCCAGCTTGCAGTAGGCTTCAGGGAGTGACCAGAGACCATCCTCCAGGCAGGTCAGCCACTGGTTTGTTCCTGACCCCAAAAGAGAAGCAGCATGTTGGGGTTACAGCTGACCCAGGGATGGAGTCCTGATGAGGGAAGCTCAGAGCAACCAGCAGAAGTCCAGTAGATACTGATGCCAAGGCAGGCAACGCATACGAAGACCCAAAACTTTCGCTTAAAATTCCCCTCTCTGGTGATGCCTCAGGATAGCCTTCACTGGGCTGGGGGCTTTTGTGTACAACACCTATCTCTCATATTGTGTTGAGCCCTCCTTCATTCTCCTGATGTGCTTTCTGCAGCTTGCCCTTACCTACCCTTACAAGCTGTCATACCCTGTGCTGCATGTGCAGTGCAAGGGTATGAGAAGTGCCAGGAGGACAGATGTGGGAGCCTTGACTGGTGTGACTGGAAATTCAAACCACCCATTTTTAATGGTTTGGGTTGAGTATTACAGTCCAGCTCTCTGTTGTCCCTCTAGAAAAAAGAGCGTTTGGTAGGCCCAGCTAATGGGTGGCTGAAACTGCACAGCTCTGAGCAGCTGTGGTAAGTGTCCAGGACTGCGTTGCCCACATGGTGTGGATGATACACAGTTCTCTGGGAACTACTGAGCAAGAAAAAAAAGCTGGACTGAAGTGAAAGGGACTCCTCTGAGAGGTTTGGATCAGCAGGTTCTTGGTGCAGCCAGACTGCTCCATGCTTCAGTCAAATGTCTTTTTTTGGGATCACTCCTCTGCCTACAACTGCTCTTGGACCAGGGGCAAGACCATACCTCCACTCAGCGCTTGTGTTCCTGGTGGGCCAGTGCTGCCAAGGGTCATCCTCCACCTCCAAGCACTGTGCAGCTGTGTCATCCTTTCCTTGCCTATTCTTAGCATTTATTAGCCTTGAGAGCCTGCCCGTAAGGATGTGAGCCTTTGGGGAGAACAAGCATCAAGCACGTCTCTACCTCAACAGCTCAGCCGAGTCAGCTGGACCTCTAAGAGTTTACCCTCGTGGCTCAGCAGCCTTGGCCAAGCACCACCAGCCGTTATGTCAGCTGCTGGAACTCACCCAGGGCACTCCACCGAGGAGACGCCTTCCCACCAAGACAGCCCATGGCAAACCTCCTGTTGACTTCAGTGGCAGCAAGAGTGAAAGATCAGATTAAAGCCCTGCCCTCAGCTGACCCATGCAAGGCAACTGGCATTGGTTTGTGCAGCATTTGGGTTGTCATCATTAGCGTGCTACCCCTTGGATCAGCTTACACTGGGGATCTATCGACATCCCCCTGTCATGAAAGAAGACCTTAATTCCCTGCAGGTTTTGTCCTTAGATTTAACTTAAATAAAATAAATGATTTTCATACGTTTCAGCTATAAATGTCTCCATAAAATAGGACACCCATTAAAATGATTTGTTGTATGTGATTGTTCAGAGCAAAGGCGTTGGTGGAAATTCACATAAAATCCCAATGCTTGAAGCTGTCAAGGCAATTACCCCCAAAATCCCATCCAGCTCAGCCTTGTATAGACAGGAACAGTAGCTCTTTTTCTCCGACCTGGCTTCAAAACATTCCTGCGGCTACTGATGGAGTCGGCAGAATGAAAGCCAGGCCATGGCATGTCTGGGGGGGACTGCTGTGTGTCTGGGTGGTGAACATCTCCCAGACTGCTCTGCAGCTGCGGGCATCAGTCTTTATGGCTTTATACAGTCTCAGGCCTCCTCAACCACAGGCTTTCCCACAGCCACCAGGCACTGAGCCACTTTTGGCTCTCTGAAGTCCCCAGTCTGTCTGCGCTGGCTGCCTGTATGCTTCTTACCTCTCTTGTCCCCATAATACTGGAGGCTGCCGGACCTCACCAGATACCTGAAGAAGACGTCCCTACACCTGGAGGTGGATGGATAAAGGCTGCCAGCCAGGGGATGGGAGTCAGAGGGAATTATCCCTATGCTATGTTGTCTCCACTCAAGGGGTTTGGATGCTCAGCATTTCAGGAAGTGTCTCAGAAGTCCACATGGCTGGCAGAAGCCAGAATAACTGGGAAATTCAGAGTAGCAATACTGTGTTTGAACAGCCTGGGACAGGCACAGAAATGTGGCACCAAAAAGGGTGGTTAAATCTCTCAGGACTCCAGACCGTACCTTGAAGCTTGGCTGGGTGGATACAGGAGAAGGAGCATCTCTGCAGATAAGTGGTTCCCCTGGGGCAGGAGTACTCAGCGTAGTACACATGGGACTGGTCAGGGACACCGCAGTCAACAGGGTCACAAGTCACAGATCTGTCCCACCATCCTGAGTTGCACTTCAACACCACCTCCTGCCGTGGAGAAAGCGAGGCTCTATCAGACCCCTGTGAGTGAGCTTTAATCTTCTGGTTTACTACCTCAGCAGAAAGGACTGATCCAGGCTCGAGGAAAAGGAGAGCTTTCCCCCATTTTTCCTCCCACAATGTGCCTTTTCTCCCCACTCTGGACACTGAGTCACAAAGCCCTTACCAGTTCACAGGTGACATTCAGAGTGTGAAAGCAGAGAATGGTCCTTGGAGTAACATGCAAGACACCTGCACAAGAGACCTTCTAATGCCTGGTCTGTAACTCGCTTGGTCACAAATGCAAGCTGCATGCAGACTGTGTGAACCGTGCCAGAGCACATTAAGGAAAACAGAAAATCCCTTCAAGATGCACTATAACTTCCTGAGCTACAAGTTATTCCCAGCTCTGTGTGCTGCAATTTTCTCCCCTAGAAGATCAAGTCTTACTTCATCTGTTGATGGGCAGCTTTCCTGTTTATTGTTTTTCTCTAAGGCACCGGTTCTCTCATGCCTCAGCTCACAGACTGTACTGAAATCAGGTTCTTATAACCTCATTTACAAATCCTAATTACATGGCCCCTCTTACACAGCTGGGGTCTGCACAAGAACCTAACACCCTGTGGTCCCATCACTAAATATGACCAACATGTGCCTCGGACTTCATCAAAACAGAGTGGTGGATGTTGATGTGCCATGAGCAACCTGGTCTAATGAAAGGAGTCCCTAGGCATGGCAGGTTTGGACTAGATGATCTCGTAAAGGTCCCTTCCAATCCCAACTGTTCCATGAATTCCACTCCCAGACTGCTAACCCCAGCTCAGCAGTCCTCAGACAGGGCTGCAGACAAAAGAGTTATCTTTCACTGGCTGAGTACAATCATGCGGCTTGTACAGTCACACGTGTGACCTGTCCTCATAGCCAGCATGTTTTGATTGAACCTGGATATGGTGGCTCTGAAAGACATAACTAAATTTGATTCTGATACTCTTGGGTGTGCAGCAGAATCAGGGTGTATCTGAACTAGGTGGAGAGGATGGCTCAGAGGAGAGCTGTGTGCATTTTCCTAAAACGCCTCAAGATGAGTAAGGTCACACAGCCAAACCAGTAACATATCACTGGAGGGCTCAGGGCAAGGCACTTGCAAGCTGCCATCTGCTGTGACAGCCACATGGTGAAGGGCTGTCCAGAAGTTTCCCATCTTGCTGACAAATGCAGGAAAACTGTCACCCGAGGCAGATTTATTTTCTGTGGTTTCATTTCAGAGAATGGGAACATTTTGTTTTCCCTAGGCATGCCTTGGCCCACAGAGCCATGTGGCCACATAATTAATAATCTCCCTGGTGATGAGGAGCTGAACGGTGCATTCGCAGCTGCCCCATTGCCCTTTCCCACACCCACCTCTCCTGCAGCAAACACCAATGGATGCAGCATGGGAAACCTGCCTGCCAGGCGTCACAAGCACTTGCAGCTCTCCTCTTTCCAGTGAGGAAAGGTCCACCCTGCTGACATGGCCTGACTCGCTTCCATCTGTCTCCACCCTGTGCAAGTTCATGCTCTTGCTCAGGCTAGTGTGGAGACCAGCTCGGACTCACAGACTCCTGTTCCCCCTCCAGGAACACCCTGTGCTCACAGCTCTGCCAAAGTGACTGCCTAAACCTGAGGCAGCTCGGTGCCCAAGGACACATCAGTCCCAGGTCTCCTCCATCAATGGCTAAGAACCATGCTGACCTGTGGCTTTTACAAGGCATCCCTCAGCCCTATGGGAAGCAGGACAAACTCTTTCATGGTGACCTCCGGGCTGCCCTGCTGGTGTGGGCAGTGCTACTGCAGTGTAACACAAAGGAAGAAAAGCTCTCCATGCTGTCAGCTGCCTCTAAATATAGTTGCTCTGCAATGACTTCATTTTTTCCTGAGCCACTACCTTCAGCTTTAAGAGAGAAAACATCCCTGGGATGTTAACCCTCCCAGCAATGCCCATGTGGAGACCAGAAATGTCTACCTCTCCTTCTGTATGAGTTCGACACCCTAGCTTGGGACATCCCCTGCAGCAGCATTTAGCCTGGCTAAGCTGCAGTCTGCAAGTTGCACTGGGCTGGGAGAGCTAGAAGGACTGCAGCGAGGGAAGGAGAGGGGTCTCCAGGGCAGGTCCACCAGCACAGAGGTCCAGCACTAGAGCCTCCACTGGGCTAAGGTTTGTTGGAATAGCAGCAAGGAGGTCAGGGCTGGAGGAAAAAGGCGTCCTGGGGTCACTCCAACCACAGCAGGGTAATTAAATGTTTCTTAACTAGCACTTGCTCCTAGCACAGGCTGCGACGTCACCCCCACCCTGAGTTCTGCTTACCTGTGTGGAGCCCAGGCTCTTCCCATTGCTGGAGCGGAGGATAAAGCCCTTTTCGCAGGCGACAGTGCATGCCATGTGCCTTGGGCCATCAGAGGTACAACTGAGGGTGGCAGCGTGAGCAAGCAGCGGCCTCATGCAGCTTCCAGATCCTGCACAGGCACCATGAACCCAGCTATAGAAGAAAGAGAAGAGGGAAGGAATCAACCAGTGGGTACCAGGACTTCTTTGCTAGGAGGGGCTCTCTATAGGTGGTATCTACATGGGGTGCTCAGCAGGTCACAGATGCCTATAGAGATGCACAGGTATCCCTCAGCCCCAGCTTCTTTCAGGCTTGAAGTCTCCTGTCAATGATGCAAGAAGGGTACTTTTTCCCAGCTTTGCATTGGCTGGACCTCAGCCCAACCCTAGCCCATACCTTCCCACAGTCCATCACATCCTTCCAAGCTGATGAAAGGAGGCATTGCCAAACAATGCTCCATCCAAATTCCGTGCTGTCTAGTGGGGCTACTCCAGCTCTTCTGCGCTAGGGTGTGCAGGCTGCACTGCACAGAACCTGTGAACAGCCTGGTGTGTACTGCTCAGTGTAGGTGTACTAAGAGAGCAAAAGAAGGGAGGTGACAGGGAGAGGGCAGGCAGATGGGCATATGCAGCAAGGCCACAATTCCCCCATGGCCAAAGTGGGAAAGTTGACATCAGACAGTCCTATCAAGCAGCACACCTGAATGCACAGGGGGTAAAGCTACCAACAGCTGTCATCGTAGCACCTTCCCAAGTGGGCTGCAGCTTCTTCAAAAGCAAGGTGTTACCTACCACATGATGATTTCTTATTTCCAACATGCTCAAATCATAATGGACACCACAGAACTTGTGGCAAGAGACCTCCCAAAACTGTGCTCTGCAGTGCCACAGGAAGTACACCTTACACACGATTGCAGCCACTCACACATGTCCTCCCATACGTACTCTACTCATACATATGTCTCACAGCGAACAGCAAGAGATCTGTGTTTTCCAAAGGCAACAAAGCCTAGACAGTAACACTGGGTGTTTCTCCTTCCTTTTGAACCCGCACCTCAATTTCAGTCAGACTTAGTGCAGAATAAGACAAGATTTACAGCAACAGATGGTCAGGAAGAAAAGATGAAGAGGCATTTTTAAAGCCGTTGCTGATAGAACGGTAATGCTTATGTCAAACCCTGTATTAGATATCAGAGAATCCACAAAGGATCTCCAACTGCAAGGAAGTATTTAGCTGGAGAAGAAACCTCTGCAGATCCTAGGGAACCAGCCATGAGACGTTCCTTAAACTATGTGCTGTCCCTCCCCAGACCTGACAGCAGAGTTGCCCAAGTGTCATGTCCTCACAGCTACACCACAGCCTGTGGTGGAATGGAGAAGCTGCACCTGCTGCAGGTGTCTCCTCCACCCCACTCTTGTCACCTTTCCACTCTGTTGGTCTTCAGCACCTCTGCCCTTCCCACAGGCCCATACAGCATTTCAAGCCTGTGCATGTTGATGCCAGACTCTTAAGGATCAAGACCATCTCAACATGCAACCGTCCAGCTCTACAGACTTGGCTGTGGCCACCAAGGTGAGACACAGCTAAAAGGAGGAATTACCCTTCACTGTGCACCACCTGAAGTTACATGAGGTCTCAGGAAAGCTTGCAGTGTGTCAATCATCACTTCAAAATAAACCCCTCCTCACCACAGCAGCTTCCCACCAATGACCATCCATTTGGTATTGATTAAGCATCACAGATTACCCTGTAGTGAAGAGGAGGGCTGGACAGAGGACTATGGTCTCCATCAGTGAAATGTAGCCAGTAGATTAATTACCTGGGATGGAATGAGGCCAAGACATGGGGTTGACACAACAGCTCCCACAGGAAAAACAGTCTGGTTATCTGGTGCTATCTTTCACCAAGTGGTATAGGTGCAAAAACTGACATCAGCCTTCCTGAAGCAGAGGGAGAGGTGCTGCACCTTCAGCTAATAACTGGAGAGAGAAGGGAAGGAGCTGTGCCCAAACACCTCCCCTCTGCTCCCTGCTTTGCATGGGGATGCTGACAGTTTCTGTGCACTGCATTTCACCCAGTGGAGGCAGAGGCAGCCCCTGCCTCTTGCGTTTGCTCAACCTCTCCAGCCAAGGATGCACAGATAGAAATCCCACAAATGACACCAAAAAAACCCAAAACCCTCAGTGCCGACCCAGACATTAAGGGAACACAATGTGCTGTTGACTCTGGACAAGTCCATGGAGCCAAAGGCACGGTGGAAACCTGCAGGCCACAGCCTTGAAAGAGCCGGTGGGCACAGGAGGGGACCACAAAGGAGAACAAGAAGAAAGGGGCTGTTTTTTCAATGCAGACCTGTTTATGAAGTGAGAAATGGTTTCAGGGCAGCTGCTGCAAATTCTTTCACTAGCTTATATTTCCATTTGCTTCCTTTTTAAAGAATTTGTTTTATGAGCACAGCGTTTGTCAGGTCATTAGCTTCTGAGGGCATCTGGTACCAATTGTAGCCCTCTCCCCTCCCCTCCTGCAGTCACCTTCTCCAGGCGGTTGCTTTGCTCCCTGCCTGTACCCCAGGCGTACACATGCTCCCATCCCCAACTCCACCTCCTCATGACAGAGCCACTGTCCTAAACCTCCTCGCGTGTCTCTGCACAAGCATGTGTGAAAGCAGCTGAGCTGCTCTTCTTTCCAGCCTTGCTTTTGCATCCCATCTGCTTCCTTACCACCCATGGGCATGTAGGGAGATGCAGCTGGTGCGCAGCATCCCTCCTACTATGGTGGTTGGTGCTACATCAACACACCATCACAAGAAAGTCCTGGGTGCCTGGGTGCCTCCATGCACACGTAGGTTATCTAACCAAATCATAGACCACATGTTGGGAAACAGGGTTGGGAGATGAGTGGTCCATTCACTAAGCAGCTGTAGGCTACAGGGCAGCTGGGTGCCCAAACTGGGACCCCAAGACACTACCTTCATCTGCTCATGATGCTGTGTTGAGTTATGGAGCGTGTGCTCTTTGTGGCACTGGTTCAATGTGGGGTGATTACACTTCTGGATACATCCAGAAAGGCCAAGTGCTTGGTTGGGGCAGCTCTGCTGGCAGTGGTGGAGTGACAGGACATTGCTTGGGGCAGCCTTGTCAGTTGGGACAACACTGTTATTAAATAACAAGTAATGAAGTACAGATCCTTTTCAGCACTGCTGGGCGCATTCTGGATTTCCACCAGTTTGGAAACACAACTGACAATGCTGGTATAAAGTAGTCAAGAGATCAGCAAATTTCTTACTGTATTATTATACACGGAAAATGTTAAATAAATTAGTTATACATTAGGGATTGATAAACATAGATGATAATATCAAAAGAATTCTTTTAATATAGACCTGTATATATACTCATTCATGCATTCTTTATGTGTATATAGACGTATTTTACAAACAACGAGTTTTCTCTTTGACCCAAAAGATGTCTCACTTATGCCGTTTTCTTTGTGACTAGCAACACTCCTATCTCACAAATACCCACTAGGTTTTATTTTGAAAATGATCTGCGACCTATTAACTCAAGTTCTGAGAAGCTATTCTCATCCTACATGTAGCTTTGAAGTCTCGTGCTGCAATTCCAGACCCAAAGAGGGGCTCACATCACTGAAAGCCGTCTTATTTTCCCAACGTATTTCTCAAATATATCAGTGAGCTTAAAATATATATATATATATACACACACACCCCACCTCTATGTACATACTTTGCCTTGATGGCTTGCTTTATTATCAGCATCATCGTGACTGTCGCTGCACCACTCTGGGCCAGGACACCCTTGAGCCTGATGGGGTACAGTGCAGAACAACAGCAAGAAAAACCAAGCCATGAGGCAAGTCCCCATCATGATCCACATGTCTTACCAGGGTTTGGGTAAAGTGATGGAATAAATCACTGCTCCCAGCTGCTGGAATCACCCTAATGAAGGCTGGATGAGGAAACGGTGCAGTTAGCCCAGTTCTGATCTCAGCATGAAGGAGCTCTTTCTCTTTTTGATGATAAATGAAATTCCTTTATCACAGCTGCAAACTTCTAACTTTTGCCCATTTCTGATTCAGGCCATATAAGATGCGGGACAAGCCAATTTTTTTTTTTTCCTGCGTGAAACATCCAGAAAAATTTCCATTTTTATCCCAGCATCATTTGAAGCTCAAACTAATGATTTGTCAACATCATTTTTACAGAATACCAAGCTTTTTTCCTAACTTATTCCACGTCAGCACCAGCCTGGATGAATTTCTGGGCTCACCAACTCCCACAACTCATACATCAAAGAAAGTTTCAGATGTGAAATTTGTGAAATTCTGCCTAGTGATGACCCTAACTGCTTTGGAATGATAAGAGCTTTGTTCTGAAATGGGACCAATTCTATAAACAAGGTCAAAACTTTTCCTTTGGGATCCTTCATCTTTCTAGAATAAAAGCAGGAGGCAACTAACAGCAACAGAGCACACTGAGCCAGTGGTGGCAATGTTGGTAGGGAGATACTGTTTTGTGACAAAATCCAAATCCTGAAAAGCTGAAATTTCGCATTTTATAGCAATTATTCCATGGAACACAGAAAATACTGATGGATTTACCCAAGTCAAGCTAAGCCAAGCCAAATACAGTGCAGCTGCCTAAAGTCTAATAAATCATCCAAAAATTGCTGTACTATCTACACAAGCTTTCAACCCAAAGATTGCTGCTAAAACAGCCCTTATCATCAAGCTCTGACTCTAACAGGGAAAAATTATTCTAAGTTCATCTCATGGTACTGATTTTTGGGGAGAGGGTGTTATAGGAGATGTTGATGGAAAGGTAAAGGCTTCAGCCAAATCTCCTGAAGTTAAAAGTAGTCACTGCATGTACTCTGGTGGAGTCTGGACTGTAGCACTGAACATCAGTGAGATAAAAGATGTTTACCCCAATGTGGTCTAGCAAAAGAGAATAGCTAGGAAATGAGAAAAGGTGTTTTGGAAATACTTGGGAATTTCTCCCTTCAGGCGTGTTTCTCATAGAGGGGAAAAGTCTCACTTTTCCAGTAAATCTGATGGCAACTATCCTTGTGGGAGCAGGCTACGTGTACAGACCCAACGGTGGTGATACTTTTTGATTATGATCTTCATTGAGG